TATATACATATATATATATATATATACATACATATATATATATATACATACATATATATAGATTGCATCAGAATAATTTTAACGTGAGATTGGTCAGCTTTTCATATATTAATGTATAGGAAGGCGTGGGGTAGTTTGAGCGAGCATTAACTATTTTTTTTTATGCCAACTATAGCATTTGTGATCGAAATCGAGAGTCACTGTAATCTGGCTCGAGGGAATGAAAGGATTTTATTTTATGCAACAACAATAAGGCCACTCAATCCCCAAACAAATATAATATTTCTTTTCAGATTGAGGGCCACTCAAATTTATTAAAGAGAAAAATCAAAATAAGTAATTCGAAATACAACAGAAAAAAAAAAACAAATAATAAAACTAGAAGAAAATCTGATAAAACTACTGCACACTCAACAAAACAGTATAAATAAAAGAAAAATGAAATACTTAAAAATTTGCTGACATATTGGCAAAGGGGAGAAGTAATCACCAAGTATGAAAGAAAATCTCCAAACAATAACAGGTTCTAATGTTCGGAAATGTGATGAGGAAGAAGGTTTTTTGACATATACCAAAGCATATTACAGTATCATTAACAAGATCTGATAATCCCATACAAATACTCGAAAAATTCTAATAAGAAAGCCAAAGCAGCACTAGTCCATCTCCAATAGAAATCTTTAAATTACCAAAATATGGCAACACAACAGACTGATAAACATCATCCCAACAAAAGACGACTCGGTTGTAAAAGATTGATCTTTAAAACAAACAGAGAATGATAGTGCTACCTGCAATAACCAAAACAAGGAAAGAAGAGAAGACAAGCAGCCCACTAAATAGATGTAACAACCAAAAGATAAAACCAATGAAAATAAAATAAAAACTTAGTGAGGCCGCAAGCTTGAGAAGCTGTTGTTAACACTAAAAAATGACGAACTCTGGGATTTAGTAGATCCGAATGAGCATGTGTCCACGCCCCCCTCCCCTCCCCTCCCGTACCACCTAACTTGGACATTTCTCCTTCCTTGCCTGCCTGTGCAGCAATAGTTCCCACTGCATGTGCACCCAGCTCGAACTCCCTTCTCCTCTCCACGTCTCAGCCTAAACCCCAGTGGCTCATATCTCTGCCGCATCAGCCTTCTTCTTATTCTAAGCTAAATTAAAGAAAGTAAATTTATTTTCAAAAATTTTGCTTAATATAATGACAATATTGTATATGGTAATATTCATTTTCTTAATTGTAGGAAATTAATAGAAAGAGAAGCAATGCTCCCAGTACAAGCAAAATTGAGGATAACAATGTTGTGGTCGGTTCTAATGAACGGTTGGATGATCTTTTTGCTAAGGGAAATATTTTTCTTGATTATCTTAGGGAGAGTGCATGAATAGAAATTCTTAATTCAATCCAGCAGTCAAATGAATTATGATTTCAGAATTCATATATGAATAATCACGTTCATGATTTGGAACTGTCAAATGAGGCGATTATTGCTATGACATTTATTAGGAATAGGGAAACATTAAGTGAATTAGCCAAAGCAAATTTGGAGACTGACAAGCCTTTTCTTTAAATGTTTTAGTATCAGATGGAAGTTTTAATTATAAATAAAAAAATGAATGAAATCCAAGAGTTTAATAGTTTGCTAATTTAGGCAAGCAGCAGCATAGAACTAATAAAATTTTACATCTGTTGGCACTATTACCAAAAGAAATGGAGATGTACTTGCTTTTATTTTATTTATATATTTATTTATTATTTTTTTAATAAAAGAGCATTATTTGGCTCTCCAATTTATTCAACAAACAAAAAAATATAAAACCGGGAAAGAGGTCCAACACACCCACCCTACAACCCACACAAAAAAAGAAAAAGGGTCCTCTTTCTAAACAAATGAAAATACAACACATACAACACCCAAAGCCACAAAACATAAAACTGCAAGTCTAATAAGAATCAAGGAAAAAGATCAGCAGGTAAAACCTTGAAATAATACTTGGATTAAGAAGAGTACCCATCTGAGCAGCCCAATTAGCAACTCTTCTCATCCCTTTTGGTATGAGACCAAAGAACATGAAGGCTTTTGGAAAGACTTTTAATCCTTTTTACTTATATATAATTACTCCAATGATAATCAACATTATACCTGCCAATCCTCCGAAGACTTAGAGAGTCCACTTCAATAATAATATGATTCTAACCCATCTTCTTGGCAAGCAATAACCAAAAAGAACAACATCAACATTAGCTACAAGTAGAGAAACAGGAAACGCCAGAGCAGCAAATCAGTAAGTGACCGTACCCCAATAATCCCTGCAAACACCACCAATACCTGCACAAAGCATGCTTCCAATTACCATCGATATTAAGCTTAAGAAAAGGAACAATAGGCTTACTCCAAACAACCTTGCATCTGTAATGCTGATTATGTATTTATTTAAGTGTTTTGAACTAATAAAACTTTTAAGATGGTTTAGGTGTTTTTTTTTAAATTTAAGTCTTAGTTGTAATAAAGAGACGGCATTCTTGGTAATCCCTCTATAAGTATTCAGTTCTTAGGTGAATAAAAATCTTCGCTGTAATTAACACTTTATTGAGAACAAAAGTTTTTTCACCTACTCTCAATTATCATCTCCAAGTCAAAAATTGCTGAGGTGTAGCATATTCCACTTTGCAAATGCGTGCACCTTATTGAGTAAACTTTTATGACATTTTAATGTATTGAGGACTATTTTTTTCTAATCAAAATTTACATGAAGTGTACATGGTAATAGAACACATTGTTTCGCCTTGCTACACAAATTGAAAAGCAAAGTACTGTTGCTTGTCATGTATACTTCAAAAAGCAAGGTACATGCATGATCTCGATGCTCAGATTCCTACTACCCTTGATATGTTCCCTTCCCTACCTGAAGCTTTTTATCTGCTCTTTCTGAATTGCTAAATTCAGACTTGAGAAACTGTTTGTGTTTTGTCCCCTGCGAATGTTATCCCAAGTTTATATTATTGTCAAGTAGTTTGATACTCTCATCTTGCTAGTGAAGTTTCAAAATTTACTAATTAAGCTATCTCATAATGTAATCCAAATACTTAGTTTTATAATTATTCATAAGGTTTGATAATGAAGTTATGTTCTGTATTAACAGTATGTCAATTTTTTTAACCATAGCTAGTTAACATACATTTTCCTTGCTTCATTATTTTGTTAGAGATTTGTTAACTATTTTAACTTGTGCATATATGCAAAACTCTATTTTTTTTTGTGGCTGATAGTAAGTTTGTACAAAAGACCTTTTTTTGAATCTTTGTTTCCTCCGTTTAAGAAATGAAGTTTTTATAGCCCAACTCATGATATTTTCGCTTGTGACAGTAAATAATTTGTGGCATCCACTTTTGAGTGAAAAATTTAATTCTATTTGTACTTCTGGAGATGGATAGGATTATCATACATTTATAGTACTACTTCTACTGCATTTTTAGTTTTGTTTAGATCATTGATTCTCAATCAAAGGTTATTGATTGCATATTGTGTCAACTTTATATTTCTATCATCTAACAATCATAAGAATCAAACAATGCAGGTCATTGTGCACACAGAAGAGGATTAAGCTTTTTTGTTTGGTGACGTTGTTCTAAGCCTCCTCTGCACAACAATGCATATTGCCTCAACAGCCCAATTCTACGGAGATCCTTTGCCCATCAGTGCTTATAAATATATACCTCTTATAAATTGGTAGCTAGTTCCATAAATCAAAATTATAATTCATTGGATTATAAAACATAACATCCTTCATAAATCAAAATGACTTCATCACAACAAACTTTAAAACAAAACTACAGTCCACAAAAAAAAAAAAAAAAGCTGTAATTTACAAGAAACTACTGATTCATTTACATTCATATTGCAATAGAATTGTCTGTCAGGCGCAACTGCAGTAATTGGTACTGTTACAATTATAACCGGCATCGAGATTTTAATATGGTAAATCTGATATTTGATGGGCTTGTTACTCGACAAATTTTTTATAACATCTGATCCTCTAACATGATCATTATCGATTGATACTTGTTTTACTTCATCAACCTTTCTAATGTATCTGCATTCATCTTTTGATCTATTTTGGGGACATCTGTAAAATATTCTTTCATGATTTTCATCTTTGTAAGAGGCGAATAATTTATATTTTAATCAATAACGACAGTAAATATGATGAAATACAAACGCTATAGATAATAACGATCGATTATCTTAATCCTCAGCATTTCTTAATTAGATGAAATACAATCGCCAAAATTTGGGGTACATAATGGACGAAACACAGGACGCCACAATCCCCATTTCCTTAAACCACTTGTTCAAGGAAGAAACATAACTAAGCTATGTACAATGTACAACACAGTTGAAGTTCTCCAAGTTAATTCTACTATATCCTGAAATCGGTCACTAATCCTTCAGGCTCCAACGGTTCAATGCTGATCCGGTCCTCCTGCTCCCGCCCCACACAGCTATCACTCTTCTGATTCGCTGAAAATAGGCATTGGCGGCAGGTTGGGCAGGTGGGTCTGGCCAAGAGCCACTTGTCAACACAGAGCACGTGAAAGCCATGGCCACACTTGGGGAGCTGCCGTATCCTCTCTCCCGGCCCTATCTCCGCCAGGCATATAGCACACTCCAAGCTGGTCGAGCCTAGCTTCAGACCGGCTGAGTAAACCACAACTGGGAGCTTTCGGATCGCACTGCGCCGAGCTGCGGTGCGGGCGAGTAGTATTTGGATGGGTATGTCGTGTCTGTCTAGTAGGCGGAGGGCACAACGGACGAAGGAGTTTAGGCCGAGAGCGCAGATTAGAGCGCAGAAGAGAACGACAACCATCATTATGAGGTTCGTGTCAAAGTTCGTGGAAAAGCGGGCAGAGTTGGCGGTGGTGGCTGCGGTTTTGATGGGGGTGACGGCGGCTTGGAGAAGGGAGCGGTGGGAGGAGATCGCCATGGAAGGAGTGGCAGTGGAGGGAGTTGTTTTATTTAGAGGAAATTTATGTTGAGACGATTTATAGAGGAATGGTGGAGTTGTTGGGTCGAAGCGAGTGCTATGTGGTAAGTTCATTGGACAAACGACTTGTAAAGAATTTCCCAAGATATTGCGCAATCCTCTCTACCTCCCTTCTGGTTGTTGCTTTAGGTGATCAACTATTAATTGTGATTAGATTTGTTCACCCTTCTTATGATAAAGATTTCTGAAGAATTTTCTTTGTTAGAAATGAGCTATTAAGTATCTTATTTCCCGACTGATTAAATGCTTATTTGAATTGATATTAGATGAGCTTTTAAACATTTTTTCAAAAACTAAAAACTAAAAAAATGCAAATCACCAAACAGTTTGCATTCAGATTCAATGGGGAAGAAATATCCGAGTGCTTTTGCCAGAAAAATTATTTCATAAAAGATAATTTGATTCTTACAACTTCTATGATCACAAGATAATTTTTTGACCATTGTAAGAATAAAGTCTGATTGTCATTTTACTGCTTGTAAAAAAGAAAAAAGGAAAAAAAGAGAAGATAAAAAACTATCCTAAAAGTTAGTTGAAAGAGTAAAATAACCATACCAACCAGGTTTTGCGTTTCAATATAGAAGCAGAAAGGGACATTATATAATTTCACTTCTAGGGAAGCAATTCCTTGAGCAAAAATTTCTCCCTCTTTAGAAATATCATAAAATTGTCGACTTGCAAAAATATTCATTGTTTTATTCCAGCTTTGAAAAATCATTTTAATTTTTAAATTTTTTTGTACGTCTATAGTGATTTCTTCTTTTTGTCTCGATGCAGGACGGGGAAATAAATTATCAGATTCATTTGGCTCATTGTTAGATAAAACGCAATGGGCAGAACAAGTCAGTGCAAACTTGCTCTGAAGTAACCAATGTGACGAATTGGAGGTGGAGTTGAATAAATTGACAAGTAAGATCGGTCCAATCCCAAACATGCCGACAATGTCCACCGCACCTGCTTCAACTTCAAGTGGTAGAGTGAGACTTTAAACCAAAACCCCTCATCACAAGTAGCAAAATGGTAAGCCTGATCATGCCAAACTTCATCCAATTCTATGATTTTTCTTTACTTGGACCTAAACTTTATTGAGTTCACATGTAGCCTCTAATTATAGCAATTGAGGAGAAGAGCATTTTGATATAATAATCACAGATTTCCATCACTATCTTCTATTAAAGCTGAAATTATTCCTTTACATTGTAAGTCTTATTCATCTCAATTTTGTAGACTATGAATGATGAAAATTGGTTCGACTCATCTAGTCGACAAGAGAAAGTAGGTGGCGCCAGTTTATGAAAGCTTGATAATCTATTGAACATTTATATGTAACGCTTTTATAAAAACATGGTTGATGATGTAGAATAAAGTAAGCTTATTTTTAAAAATGGAGATTATAACTTATGTGAAGAGAACAAAAAAAAATCTAATATTAATACGTCCTTAAGAAATCATATTGATTTGCACGAATTCAAAGCACGTTTAAACCTAAAGTTTCAAAAATCAATTGAAATATCCACACTTCAATTTATGATCAAATGAAGTGTATCAGGGAGAAACCAAATGACATGAAAAATGATTCCACTTTGAGCCCAAAGTGAGCTCAGATCATACACTTAAAGTATAAAAAGAAGCTGAATGATCTCTAAATCTGGCAGATTCATAGTTAAAATGAACGTCTCGATAAGACGAATGCAACGACCCTAAGATCACTCAATTTTGATATCATAAAGACATTCAATTACTCATAAAATAACATCCAATAAAGGAAATCACTTCTGACCATTCAATGTAGTGGTCCAGTTTCATGCAATATTTTTGAAGGATGTCACTCCCAAAGTCTATAAATAGTCCCCCACTCTCTTCATGAAAGGGACCTGGAGCTCAAAGAGAAGGCTGAAGGAGCTCAATGCTCTTAAGGGTTCCTGTGCTCCACCACCACCATACCGTTGTCATCAAGTCACTGCCAATGTTGAACCACCGTTGCTTGACCACCACTATCGCTGTCATTGGTCCACCGACGTCTAGTTGCCACCATAATATCAGTCGGACCTTAGCTTCTTGAGCACCACTATCATCATCATCACACGTCTGACCATCACTGCCATCGCCAGATCACTGCTACTTGGGCACCATTGTTGGTGTCATTAGACCACTGTTGTAAGGACGCCTTCATCATTGGACCACCATTGTGTGTCCATCGTTGTCACCACTATTAGAGCACTTTACTAGGCCACCACCATCATCATCGTTGAACCATCGATGCCCGACCACCACCGTCATTATCGTCGAAACATTGTCGTTGAGCCACCAACATCTCCACATATTTATCACTGTCACCACCGTCTAGCCATCTCCACCATTGGACCACCAATGCTGGCCACCATCATAGCCATAGTCAGACCATTGCCATCGGTTCGTCACCACCATCGGACTTCCACTGCTCGACCACCACATTCAATGCCACAAGAACATCGCTGCTTGGTTGCCTCCATCATCAGAACACCATGGACAGGTCACTGTCATCGGTCGGCTACCACCATCGTTGTTGCCAGGGCACCGCCTTCTAGCTACCCCGACCGCCGGATCAGTGTTGCCCCGCAACCACCTTCACTTCCATTAAACCAATGTTGTCGAGTACCACTATAGGAACCCCACTGCCCGACCATAGTTGTTGGACCAACGCCGCCCGACTGTAGCTACTGACGATGCTGACATTAGAATTGACGTCACTCAACCTCTACCATCGGTCATCCTTCAAAGCAACCACATCACCACTACTTTTCTAATGTAGGGCCTATTTGGGGCAGCTTATAAGTGTGGCGGCGTTTTCCAAACGCCGCCTCACCGTTTGTTTCTCATGTTTAGGGTACATTTTTTAGAACTTGTTTTCTATTTTCCATTAGACGCGTGTATATCCCCGCGATCCGCGTTCGCACTTCATCTTTTACCCTTCTTGCCCTCGCTAACCCGATCTCGCCCGTTTTCCAAACGCCGCCTCACCGTTTGTTTCTCATATTTAGGGTACATTTTTTAGAACCTTGTTTTCTATTTTCCATTAGACGCGAACAGCGTGTATATCCCCGCGATCCGCGTTCGCACTCCATTTTTACCCTTCTTGCCCTCGCTAACCCGATCTCGCCCTAACCCTCTGTCGAAAAAGATCCTGCCTCCGTCGCTACCCATTTCACGAAGAGGTTGCTCTCCCCTGGTAAGAAATTCTTCTCCTCCCTCTTCTACACCCTCCTCCCCCTCTTTTGGTCGAAAGTCACCTCTAATATTGCGATAAAGAAAGGTTCCTCTCCTCCATCCTTCTCATATATTGCAGTGAAGAAAGGTTCTCTATACTCACGGTGAAGAAAGGTTCCACTCCTCCCTCCTCTCCTCCCTCCTCATATATTTGGCCGAAATGTTGTTTTCAGATGGTTGGTGAATTCTGTTATAGTTCCTCTATCTCATTTATTTGATGCATTACTTTAAAAAAGTTATTATTTTTCTTTGGAGCTACTATTCTTGTTTCCATTGGAAAATCTCTTATTTGTAAAGTAGTTGCATGCACTATCGAGAGGAGAGAGTAATTTTGAGTGCATCTAATGAAATGGTCTTACAAATTTTAAAAAGTATGGGCATAACAGATCTGAAGCAATGATAGAAAGACTGGTAATGTTTTTTTTTTTCATTAAATGGCATTATACTCTTCAGTCAATTCTTGTACTCTTTTAGCTTTATTAGAAAAAAATGACTACATAAATTTCATGCAACTCAATATTTGCTCCAGGTTTTTGCATATATCCAGGAACTTTGAGAATTACTTACCCATCTCTACTTATGAATGTGTTGTGGATTAGATAGAGATGGAGGTGGATTGTTTTTATATAGGCCTCTTCTATTCTCGAGCTTCTTGATATTTTGTACCGACCTGTTTAGCATCTACATATGAATGTGTTGTGGCTCATCTGGGTGCTTGTTTTGCATCTCTACTTATGAATGACAAACTTCTACCATTTACTTCTGTTAATTTGTTATGAATTGAGAGATGGAGAGAGTAATTTTGAGAATGAGCATTCCTCGGTGATAAATATCTCTCTTTTTGTTTGTTGTTAATATCCAGGTAGTTTATGAAATCTGAAATATTATTGAAACTAGTGGGTTGGTGCATAATATTTCGATTATTTCAAGAAAAAAAATAGGATGATTCTGCCAGTATGGATTATAAGTGTTGGAGAATGAATTGTTTTGTTTCTTTTGTGTTCAGGGAAGTTTATTGTCATGGAAGTATACTGCAATGTTTATTTCTGTTAAGTATACTGCTTCACATAGCTTTGGTACCTGTCTGTTGGTTTTTTTGGGTGTTTGTTGGCTCATCTGGGAAGTTTACTGTTAGGGAAGTTTAGATAGGCAAGCATTTGAGAGCGGCAAGCATTTTAGATAGACAAGCATTTGAGATGAAAACATTTTACTAGTGTATGTACCTTCATATATCTTTTATGCTTTTCTGAAGCAATGTTTATTTCTGTTAGTAAATGGTTATTTCTGTAAGTAAATGGTTATTCTTCGGAGGAAATGGTAGGGGCTCTGGTTATTTTTATGAAGCATCTCTCGTGCAGTTTGGTCTGGTTTCTATTTGTCTGTTGGTTTTCTGAAGCAATGGTTATATGTCTGTCATGTGCCAGAGAGATTTATTAGGAAAAAAAGCTGAACATATTTCCTGCATACAGAGTTGGGGACATGACATGTTATGTATGATATAATGTAAACTTTTTTTATGCATGGATATTGGAGGTTAGGCTAATTATTATGGATTGAGTAAATGGTTTGATGTTGCAGTTCAATGCATACAGAGTTGGAAAGTTAAATGCATAAGGATAGTTTGAAAATAAGATGGTGGGGCTCTTTTCATTTAAGTAAAGATTCTGGATATATTTCCTGCATGCATACACATGTTTTTGCATAGGTAATCATAAATATTTTGTTGCTTTTTTCATTTAAGTACAGAACAGGACTTATCGGCTATGTGAGGAAATGACACCTATATGTGTTGG